GCAACATCATAACTTCCTGGAGGGACTGCTTCATGGACCGATTGTGGTTGAGATTGCGTTTTTCAGGGTGATAGTTGTTAAAGTGCAGTAAATATGCAACACGAGCTCAGGGCTAACACTGAACATCAGAAATGTTTCAGGTATGGAAAGTGCTTTGTTTTCTTTATGCATTGTAAAAAAGCTGTTAGATTTACTGCACACATTACTATAGCTCTGCTCTGAAGGATAAAAGATTTATTTTCGGGCCAAAGATGCAAATGAAATCAATATTCAGATTGTAGTGTTTTACATGATGAAATACTGCTTTTTATGTAAATAGAGGGACTGGAGGAGACTATTGCAGTTTCTACTTACTGCCAGAAGAGGGGGACAAAGCCCATGTTCTTAAAGGATAGGCTCAGATAGGATTTTCTTGCTAAGAAAAGGCGCTCCCAATTTAAGTGATGGGGGAGAAAATCCAAAAGTGTATCTAAAGGAGGCTTCAGCAGTATGAGTTAGACAAATAAAGTGTGCATCTTCTGAAGTTACTGTGTACAAAGTTCTCTCTTTGTGTCCCTCCACTGCAGCTCATCAAAGATACTGTCTAGAGAAACACAAAGACAGAATTTTATACTGCTAAAGCCTCATATTAAAGGTTATATATATGAGATTTAGAACATAAATATAGCAGCAAACAATTATTCTCTATGTAAAGATAAAATGGAGTCATGGTGTCACACTCCCTGTGCCTGTGTTGCTATCGCAGCCTCTCTGTGGTTTTTAATTAAGGATTTAGTTCACCCAAACCAGAGTTGGTGATTGTTGGAACACTGGAAAGACTATCAAAGACTGTTTTGGTAAGTCTTCTGTCCCAATCTTTTTAGTCTGACATGCTGGTGCTCTAGTGCGACATCTAGTGGCAAGTAATTTTCATTTAAATAACCTTTAACTTTTTATTTTGTCGCCCATTACTTTCATATTGGAAGGGCACCGGGAAGAGATTTCCTAATGGTTCGTATGAACAGGAGGAAGAAAACCCTGTTCAAATGTTCATATTTGCACCTGATTATTATTTTAAGAAAAAATATGAACGTATGCTTTAATCCTCCCTTTCATATGCTGTTCTCAAATGAAAAAGTCAGCTGTATTATGAGATGATCAGTTATCAGGTTGGATATTATTCACTCTTTCATACTGGATAATTCTTGGCTGCTTCTTCTTGAGGGTTGGAACATTTGCACAGGCTGACACACCAATATTAAAAAAATTCAGTTTCAAACCCACAGAAAACAGTTGCCAGAAAGTTTCCTGTACATTGAACCAGCAACCCACACACTGCTCCACACACTCAGCGAATAGAGGGCACTCTGACAGCGAGAAAGTGCTGATAGAATGGAGCTGTTCGAAACAATGCCAGCCCTCCTGAGATCACTTCATCACATCATCACTTCCTTTGTCTGGTTCAGGTGGGCGGTTGCTGTAATTGTTATCCGTGATGATAAGGTGTGTCACAAATGGCTGACAGTTTTGGTGGAAACTGCAGACTCACCAGTTTTCGGATCTCACACTCCAGGTTCAGGATGCAGTCGAGCTTCCTCTTGCGGCAGCGCTGCGCCGCGATGCGGTTCTTGCTCCGTCGCCTCACATCATGGATAAACTCAAGCTGTTCCGAGGTCAGTTTGTGCATTTTCACCAACATTTGGAAGTCGTTCCGTGGAAGATTTGTGATCTGATCTACGGGGAAAGGCAACTTCACCTGGAAAAAGAAGAAAAAGAACAGATTGTCACTACTGAGCATTTATTAAAATGAGTGGAAGTTGCCCATACAGTTAAAATACTGAGTTTATCTGTCTTTTGTATGGAGTGTGAAGTGTGCCATTATAATTATTATATTTTCCCTTTGATTAATTAAATTAAAGATGCATTGTGTAAAAAAGACGTTCAATTTGCCAACCTGTACATTTTAAAGCAGAGAACAAATAAACTGTGAGATGGGATCTGATAGGCAGACAGGGCCTTGATTGAAAAATGTTATCAATTCTTCATTTTGCATTTTACAAATATCTTTAAATTTTCCTAAAATACACAGGGTCTGTCAAGTTATGAAGCTCGCTTTATTCCTTTATCACTACCACCAGTGTCTAGACTCCTGATACAAATAACAGAGCTTCAACAACCCCTTTAAATACAATGACTCCTCTCATCTGATCAAGCCAAAACCAAGTTTATTAATTGATTATAACACTTTTGCATGATTTGCATCTCAATTTCAAAACAAACACCAACAAAAACCTCTAACTTATCTGTTTCTCTTAACTAATCTCTTTTGTGACTTAATGAGGGAGATTCATGAAGGCTTATGGCTAAATTTACCAGCTACATAGAGGAGATTTACCAGGTGAGTCATGTTTCATTGTGCCCGCTTGCTGTTGGACAGTTCCTCCATTTGATCACAAGATGGCAGAAGAGCACTGCCCCACAAGCCTTGCATCCTTCAGCTCTCTCTCTCAAGCAGAGGGGAAAAGGTGATGCAAGAAAAGAGTCCCTATCTATCTGTCCCTTAGCACCTGGAAAGGTGCCAGCATGACAGACTGAGGGGGTGGGACTGACTTGTCAACCTGATCCAAATCAGTGTCAGGTGATTTCTGGGGGCATGAATATCCGAGCCAGCAACTAGCCTTCACATGCTGCAGAACAAAAGAATTAGTGGAGTAAATGCAGCAGTGATTTGGCAGCGTAAACCAAAAATCAGAGAGCTGTGTGCTATTTCTTCACCGATATGAGAACATTATCAAGGTTGTATGTGTTGATTCTCTTTTTCTCAGTTTGGAGAGCAACAATAAGTCAGCCTCTCTCCCTCAGGTGATGGCAAACCTTATGATAAGCACATCATAGGCAGATCCACCCCAGCAGTATCTGTGTGCACCAGGGAGCTGTAGCTTTAGGCAGCGGGTGAAGCAGTGGAGTCATAACAAAGAGCCAGAGGAAGACAGCCGGAGAGCTTGGCAGAGATGAGAGGAGCTGCAGATCCCTTTCTCCTCTCCCTCTCCCTCCCTGTGGCTGCCTCTGCGGAGCGCAGGAAGAACAAAGTCAAACAAAGGAAGAAGAGAGGAGAAAGAGGAGCAAGCGATGCGACTCCGCACTGTACCTGACTGCTCGAGCGGGGCCAGATGATCCCCGGAGACCCTTAGCCGCTCAGACGACTGTCGGCACAGGCTGCAGCAGAGGTCTGTTTTTCCAGCAGACTTACACAGCGGTGGCTGAGGCGTCACCTGGTGTAAAGCGCCACACTCAGGGGGATAAAGCAAGGTGCCTACTCATGACAGAATTGAAATTACTCCTCGCTGAAGAGCAAATCTAGATGTCAATCTATCCCTGAGAGATAAAATGGCTTGCGTTTCCTCATTAGAAGTGGAGCCCTCTGAACCGCCAGGAGCCCTATTTCTCATCTCAGCTCGACATCTGCATGCAGACACATGAATAAATAATGACCTGAGCTTTCAAGGCCATTCAAGGCTCTCGCTACTTTGCCAGGGCATGACAACTCCAGCCTCAAAGAGAGGCGTGAGGAAAGCTATAAAACATCAGTACGAGCTGCCAGCTCCATGTATAGCAGAGGGGAAGATGACTCTGTTTGTGATTCGATAGCTTGTGTACAGTGTGTACAGAGTGAGCTTTCCCACCACACAATCCAAAAGGGTCTTTGGCCAAACCAGGTTAGAAAAAGAAGGGGGGAAGGAGACACTGCGACCTTGTGATGGTTTCTTTCTCCCCCTCATCTAGCAGTCACTGGTACGCAGGGGACGGCTAAATTTAGCCGCTACACCACGAGAACCAGTTCAGCAGCAAGGCTGGGATGACAGAGTACGCTTCAGCGGTGGTCATAAATTCACAGCCAACTGTTCTGGATTTACATTTTGTTTCTCAATTCTCTCCATTCCCCCTCCCTACCCTCAGTCACTCACTTTCTCTGGGTCATTGTGCTGCAAATGGGGTACAGAGTGAAAAGTAGGGCTCATCTGTTATCAGGACCAGCGCTTTGCTGGGTGTCAGCTGCCTGACACCGCGCACTGTTAAAAAATAATGGATGTTTCAAGTTTAGGCTCAAAATACCATTTATGTGATTTATATGTAGGTGAGGAATCCACTCAGCTGTGGCTCAGAGGCAGAGCGGGGTTGTCCACTAATCAGAAGGTTGTT